ACATTTCACGACAAAATTATAATACCCTCTGCAAGGGTATAAAAATAGTTTAAAAAAGCTAGGTTTCGAAAACGATTTTTATCGATTGCTTAGATTTTTTGATAAGGCAAACGTGCTCGTAGCGAGAGCTGCATTTGGTGTTTGAAGAAAAGGGTTCAGGGGATCTCCTATTCGGGTACTAGCGAATAAAGCCTCTTACTTGTTTATTTTTCAATTGTAATAAAATCTAGTTTTATTAAAGGTTTTAGGGTAATTGCGACTCCGGTGCTGTTAGTTTCTTAAGGGCGATATCCCCTCAGCTGGGCTACCCACAAGTAAGTGGTCCACCGTTAGGCATCGAGCTTAGGAGGGCTTCCACCGTGACCCCCGGCGTCTGTAGTTCTTTTGCTGCGAGCAGCAGATTTCCTACCTGTAGAAGAAGGAGCTCTTATCAGCATGAACGTAAATTCGCAACCGCGTTTGATGTAAATTCGCGAATTGCGACCTCCTTTTTCTCAATTAAAGCTCAAAAAAACAAAAAAAAAAATTATCTTGTTTAATCATAAATTAAGCTCCCGCGAACCAATTCGACTTAAGCTACTCGTCCACATCGCAGCCGTTCGAAACGATATCGGATTGTTATTGCTTTGTAGGTTCATGGAGCCATTTATTGATCTCTCTCCAAGGATGTGGCCGTACCCAATGAATTGCGTCTTTAAAGTCAGACCAGAGCACAGTTGGTCCAATCGGTAATTTTATGAGATTTATGATTCATTAACAGAGATCTGCGAGCATGTGATATATGCCGCGCACAAAAGTCTATGAAGACTCTTCGACTTGAGGAAAGCTCCCTTGGACTTAGATGTCGACAACGAAATACGGCAATCTTCCGTAGAATGGTTGTGTATTGTAGCGCCCTGAGTCAATCCAGTCAACAAGATTCTTTTGCAGAATGGAAAAAGAAAATGGTCTTAAGACCTACAGATCCAACACGAAATCGTAGATGCTGAGTTATTAAATATCGAATATTCTTCGGAATTATAAAATAATCATTTCGGATTTACCTTACCGTTTCTTACACTAGCCACTGAACAGATATATGAAATATTTTCTGTCGAGAATTTAACTGATTACTAGGCAAAAATGTGCTGATACCTGTTTTGCAAAGTTATCATAATGGAATGATTGCTAATCCTCCTCAACTTTATGCATAACGCCTTGAATAAGAATAGCATTAGTAGTATTAGTATATAGTAGTGAACAAGGGCACAGCTGGCCGGACGGGCAATAAAACAACTCCATCGGTCGGTGACGCGATTAGAAATTGGTGTATTCTAATTAGAATTTTAGCACTTATTATAATTTGATATATTGAATAATTAGGAAGACACTCGGTTTTGTCGACCATTTAATGAATAAATAAATATACCCTGAACCCATTTCAAAGGGGTAAAAAGGATATAATGTATTTGTGCAAATGTATGTAACAGGGAGAAGGAAGCATCAGCATCACAAGCCGAGTCGATCTAGCCATGTCCGTCTGTCCGTCCGTCCGTCTGTCCGTATGTATGCACGTAAGGATCTCAAAACCTATAAGCACTAGAGACTTGAAATTCCAACTGTAGGTCCTCCTAGTGCCCGCGTAGAACGATTTTTTCCGATATTCGATAACTTCCTCGTTTCCAAGTAATCGTTAAAAATCTATATCGAAATCCTGTTTTTTTGAGAAATATTGGTAAATAAGATGAGCTAGAGTCACCAAACTTGACTAGTATATATATGTATAGCATCTTTCAATTTATAGCAATCGCCCAATGAGATGTACTTTAGAAAATTTTATGAAGATCGGTCAAGAAACAGAAATTATTAAGGAAAACAAATTTGGCTGTCTTCGAGTTTTGGGCAGCAAGCGAAAATTGCTAGAATTTCTGTACACACACACATTCATACGCGTCTTCTGTGAATCAACAGCATTGCATTTGCGATTGTTTTCTGTGCTGCTATTTTACCCCGTCTTTTTCTCATTAAGACTTAATTCTTGGTGTGGCGGTTGAGTAGAGGCGGTTGCAAGTAGTGCGGGTTATATTACGAGTTCGAGACTTATCGAAGAGACACTTTCTTTTCTATTTTAATTTATTTTTATTACTGCTGAAGCATAAGGGTTCAGGGTATTCCCTAGCCGTGAGCTCCTGACTAGAGCCTCTTACTTGTTCTTATACACTTCAGTCAATGTCAATCATTGATTTCAAAGCTGAGTCTGATACTTTAACGCCTAATTTATGTAAAGCTTCTAATCTATATTCTTACTCTGTAAAGCTTCTAATCTATATTCTTACTCTGTAAAATCTAGGATTAACTTTAATTTGTCCATTTAAACGCAGTATGCTTTTTTTCATTTTATTTTAAATGTTCTTTAGATGGCATATCTAAGTTGAAAATCAAATTAACCCCTTTTAATTAAATTTAAACAGCTTATATATCCTTTAAAGCAATTGTTTGCCATCCAAAAGTTTATTTAACTAGAAAGAAGGAATATCTTCGGCGCGCAGAAGATTTAATACCCTTGCACACATTTGGCTTGATCTTGGAAAACAATATAGTTTAACAAAAATAACTCATTTGTCTATCGATTCTTCCTGTAGAGCTATACAATAGGGAAGTGCGATCTTGATCATATACAAGAAGAAGAAAAAGCAGATGTCGTCAGAGTAAGAGGCTATTAGCAGTTTTGCTGGCAAAGGTGGGGGCCCCGGACACTCTCCTGATGCACGCCAGAACTGAACGGTAGGGCCGCGGATGTAGTTGACCTTACGTAAAATTGTATAGCAAGCCATTGCAGTACACTTTGCAGTCGCAGACTGTTTTAGTTTCAGCTTCGATAAGAAAGGCAGAAAACTTATCTTTGGATTGATACGGAGCACCAAAACAAATTTTTATAATTCGATAGTATTTGTTTCTACATGTTATTTAAGATTTCTTACATAGGTCCACATGTTAAAAATGGTTCAATTATCGTGTAATTAATCCCCAACTGCACATGTACCGTCTAGAATAGTAGATACAGGTTAAGTATATTATTTATTTTTATTATTTTTTATTTTGTTGCCCAAAAGCTGAGCAGTGACTTGTCGGGTTGAGCTCTAGACTTATCTTATGGTGTCAAAATAGAATAAATATCCTCCAAAAGTCAAAATCTTTGGGATAACCCCTTCTGAAATTGATTTAAGATACTGATTCACCTTGCATATCCAAAGCTTTTAAAAGGTTTTTGATATCTCGGAGCGTGATGTGCAATGGTAGAAGCGCATTTTGCATGGCATGATCTCCCAAAGTATGTAGTGCTTCTTTTTTCCAGTGCTTTCTTGAGTAATAATCGTGTCGAGCTTGGGTGTTTCAGAGGCAGGGAAAGCAGCAATACATTGTATAGGCACGTATAACAATTTAATGACATGGCTATATCTGTCAATCGTAGAAGACCTTCCACAGCAATATAATTGGAGAATATATGATTTACATTGTGGAGTAAAAAGATTGAGAATATGACAGATGATCGCATGTGCATGGCCTGCATCGAGATGTGTCATCGGGCAGGTTTGTTGAAATGATATATCTTGAAAGCTAAAATGGTATACGTTGAAGGTCTTATGTAAATACAGAGGTGAGGTAAAATAAAAAAAATTTAAAAATATATTCATTAGTTTTTAGGAAGCGTTAAGCCTTTAAAATCGGTTATTAGATTCTTAAGTAATGATCAAAAATAAAAAAAAAAATGTTTTAATAAATATATAAATAAATAACATACCAGCTTTTAACAAATAACTTTGCTGTCGTCAAGTGTGCTCGACTACGAAATCCTTAGTCAATATGATATTTTGGTTAGTTACCTATAGGCGCATTTATGCACAGTACACAAATACACGTGCTTAACTGGGAGATTTATGCAGCAGCAAAGATGCTTCTTCCCTGCACTACATTATTAAAAAATTTAATGTGGAATAACTGCTATGTTGGTTGTGCGATCTTAATGAAATTTAACGGCATTGAAATCTGTGTATAGACCAAACCACAATGATCCATCCTCAACAAGTCAAAGTGGTCTAGTCGGAAGTTCCCTCATCTGGAGTCGAGCTCGCAACCGACTGAACCACTTCCACCGCCTTATACTCCACAGCCCCACATCAAAAATGAATTAAATTGTAAAAATGAATTAAATATATATGTATGTCACACACAGCACAGAATGCAATACAATCGCAATTGAAGCTATAATTATAGAATTCATTAAAACACATGTATACTGAAATTATTGTAGTTTTAGCCAGCTGCCGCAAACACGTAACTTGTCAATATAAACACACGTTTTCTTTAAAACTTGCTGTGTTTCTCAACGAATCTGGATGAAATTTTCAACCTTATTTAGCTATAGAATATTCGTATATTCGTAAAGAATTGCATTCAAATTGTGGCGATAGCTATGAAATGCTATACTATTCTTGAAATCTAAGAGATTTGCTTAAAAAACAAGAATTCGATATCGATTTTAATCAATTGCTTGGGAACGGGACATTGAAAAAACGCTGGTGCTGCCTGGGAACTAGGAGGACCTACGACTAACTTTATTTAGTTGTCTAGATCGACACGTTCACACATACGGACGGATAGTCAGACAGACATGGCTAGATGAACTCGTTATTGACGTTGATCAAGTATACATACACTCTGCCGGGTCGGAGATGCTTCCTTCTGCCTGTTACTTTAATTGGTACAAACACATTATACCCATTTATCCATTTTCAATGGGTTCAGGGTATAAAAAGAAATATGGGCCCAAATATGTGTATTAGAAAATGTTGGTTGTTTTAATTGATACCATTTTCATAAAATTACAAGCGATATAAAATCGGCAGAGAAACCTCAGAAAATATCACCCGCACAACCACACAAGCTCGTGTTGTCAAGCTTTTGTGTTTGTCCATTATTGTCATTTCTTGCTTAATTTGTATTTCTCTCTTTGATTTCAGGCACTGGTACATTTGGACGGGTTTGTCTCTGCCGTGATCGCATTACCGAAAAATACTGTGCCATGAAAATTTTAGCTATGACAGAAGTCATACGCCTTAAACAAATTGAACATGTTAAGAATGAGCGAAATATATTGCGTGAAATACGACATCCTTTCGTCATCTCCTTGTAAGTACTATGTATTTATAGGTTACTATATCGTTGTTCCTGTATTAGCCTGGACCTTACATTTTTCTGAAAATTGTAACTTTCATTTTTTTATACGAGGCATATACTGATGAAATGAGAAACATGTTTGAAATAAATCCTTTAAAATTGTTTTATAACGATTCGGGAATAGATCTTTCTCAATAACTTTGATTGCAAACGAAAAAGTTTCATGCAACCGTTTTCCATTAATTTAAAATAGCTTCAGGTGGATTATCCATAATCGATAAAACTCTTAAAATTCTGTTTTGGGGCTTTGATACAAGATTCAAACAAGTAAGAGGTTCTAGTCGGGATCTCCCGACTAGGAGATACCCTGAACCCTCTTCTTCCAACACCAAATGCAGCTCGCGCTACGCGCTCGTTTGATTTAGTAGTAATAAGGAAAAATGAAAATAAAAAAAACAAATTGTTCCCTTGGCAGGGTTCGAACTCGCAACTAACCGCACCACTTACCGCTGACTCTAATCAAGGGCCACACCAATAATTGAGCTTTAATGAGAAAAAACCAATTGAAATAGCAGCACAGAAAGCAATACAATCGCAATTGCAATGCTGTTGATAGAATTCAAAGCAAACACGCATGAATGTATGTATGTGTACATGTATACAGAAATTCTTGGAATTTGCGCAGCAGCTATGCAGCTAACACGTGCGCACATAACTTTTGTGTTTCTTTACCGATCTTAATGAAATTTTCGACAGTACATCTTATTGTAGAATAGAATAAAGAATATTTGTGTATTCTCAAAAATGCAATTGCATATAAATTGGGGCTTAAATTGATGGGCAATACAAGTTGGATAAATAACTTGATTTATAGCTTTGCGGTGGTAGCGGGGAGGTGGCGATAGGTATAAAATGAAAGATACTTGATATATGTATATATACTATTCTAGAAGCTACATGTCAAGTTTGATGACTCTAGCTCTTATTATTTGCCGAAATTACTCAAAAAACAGGATTTAAATATCGATTTTTATCGATTACTTGGAAACGGGGCGAGCTATCGAATATCGAAAACAAACTTGATCTGCGCGGGCATTAGGAGGACCTACAGTTAAAATTTCAAATCTCTAGCTCTTATAGGTTCTGATATCCTTGCGTTCATACATACGGACGGACGGACGGACAGACGGACAGACAGACAGACGGACATGGCTAGATCGACTCGGCTTTTGATGCTGATCAAGAATATATAGTCTTTATGGGGTCGGAGATGCTTCCTTCTGCCTGTTACATACATTTGCACAAATACAATATACCCTTATTACCCATTTTTAATGGGTTTAGGATATAATAAATGCTGAGTTAGGTCAAGATATCGTGAAAAACAAAAAATGTTTCCATACAACAACTTAATTTTCGAGTTTTTCATACAAGAACCTCTTTCGACCGATCGTTCCTATGGCAGCTATATGATATAGTGGTCCGATCCAGCTGGTTCCGATGTATATATATAACCCCATATATATGCACTTCTGCAAAGTTTCAAAAAGATAGCTTCAAAGAGGAACTAGCTCGCATAGAAACAGACAGACGGACATGGCTATATCGACTGGGCTGGTGATACTGATCATGAATATATATACTTTATGGGGTCGGAGATGTGTCATATGCGTTACACATTTCAAGACAAATTATAATACCCTCTGCAAGGGTATAAAAACATATCATCAATACTTGATTCACTGTTACTCATATTTTAGAAATTATCATTAATGCCTTTTAATCAGCGTTATCTTGGAATTATAATCGATCCTTTCTTCGTCTAACAGAGAATGGTCCACCAAGGATGAGTCTAATCTATATATGATCTTTGATTATGTTTGCGGCGGTGAGCTGTTTACATATCTGCGTAATGCAGGAAAGTTTACTAGTCAAACTTGTAAGTAGGACCATAAGTCAATCCCACAAAGAAAATAAAAACTTTTTTCTTCAGCGAATTTCTATGCAGCAGAAATTGTCAGCGCTCTTGAATACCTGCACTCACTGCAAATTATCTATCGGGACTTAAAACCAGAGAATTTGTTAATAAATAGAGATGGTCATATAAAGATAACCGATTTCGGCTTTGCTAAAAAGCTCCGTGATCGAACATGGACATTATGCGGCACTCCTGAATATATAGCTCCAGAGATAATACAATCTAAAGGCCACAACAAGGCAGTCGACTGGTGGGCGTTGGGTATGTTATACTGAAGCCTACGTTTCACCATAATATTATTTCGATATTCTTTTTACAGGTGTGCTTGTTTATGAAATGCTTGTGGGGTATCCGCCATTTTATGATGAGCAACCATTTGGCATTTATGAAAAGATATTGAGCGGCAAAATTGAATGGGAGCGCCACATGGATCCTATTGCTAAAGACCTAATAAAAAAGTTGCTGGTGAATGACAGAACAAAGAGACTGGGTAATATGAAGGTAAGAATTAAATGTAATAATTTATATATTTAGTAATAGATAGAGATGCTGGCTTAAAAATAAGACCATGATAAGTGACTGGACAAATTAATTGCTTAATAAATCTATATCTGCTATTACTCAGTGGGGGATAGAACCAAAAGACTTGCTGAAGATGTTTTTCTTCTTTTCCATCTCTGTAGCTTCACGCCAATTGAGTTTGTATAGCGTAATCTTTATATACTGAACCCATGGATAATGGATATAAAGGGTATAATCGTTTTGTGAATTTGTATGTAACAGGCAGACGGAAGCATCTCCGATTCTTGTCGGCGTCAATAGCTGAATCGATCTACCCATGTCCGCTTGTCATAGACATTAAGAAAAAGTTAAAAAAGGAAAGGTCCAAAATGACTACCTTTAGGGACACCAGAAGTAACGTCACCCTCTTTCGAGGTAGTCAACCTCAGCATACAAAGTCATGGTAGTCATGCTACCCTTTTAATCTAGCCAAGGCCGTCTGTCTGTCCGTCTAGCCGTCCGTCTATTTGTATGTAGGTATCCAAGCGTAGAACGAGTTTACTCTCGATAATCGATAACTTTCCCGGTTTTCAAGCAATCGATGAAATCGATATCGAAATCCTGTTTTTTTATATCTCTCTGATTTAGATTCTAGAAAAGAAAGATCAACTTTCATTTTGTAGGTATCTTGATCTGTGCTGGGTATGTGCTGCTATTTTAATATTTTTTCGATTAAAGGAACTTTTATTTGTTTATACCCTGAACCCATGAAAAATTGTTAAAAAAAGGTTTAATGTTTTTGTGCAAATGTATGTAACAGGCAGAAGGAAGCATCTCCGACCCCATAAAGTATATATATTCTTGATCAGCATCAATAGCCGAGTCGATTAAGCCATGTCCGTCTGTCTGTCCGTCCGTGTGTATGAGCGCAAGGATATCAGAACCTATAGTTCCTCCTAGTGCCCGCGCAGTATGAGTTTGTTTCCGAAATTCAATAAGTTGCCCGTTTTCAAGCAATCGATAAAAATTAAAATCCTGATTTATGAGCAATTCTTGTAATTTTAAGAGCTAAATTCACCAAACTTTATATGTTGATTCTAGTATAGTATATATATCAAGTATCTTTCATTTTATAGCCGTCGCCAACTCCCCGCTACCATCACATAGCTATAAATCAAGTATAAACACCAATTTTTATTGCCCACCAATATAAGCCAAAATTAAAATGCAATTGACTTATTCAAATATTCTATAGTACAATAATATCTACTGTTGAAAATGTCATTAAGATCGGTTAAGAAACACAGAAGTTATTAAAGAAAACGTGTTTTGGCTGGCCACGAGTTTGGGGCAGCTAGCGCAAATTGCAAGAATTTATTTACATGCAATTGTACATGTACACACAAACACGACTTTATTGAATTCTATCAACAGCATTGCATTTGCGATTGTATTGTTTTCTGTGCTGCTTTTTCAATCCGTTTTTTTCTCATTGAGACTTAATTATTGGTGTGGCTGTTGAGTAGAAGCAGCGACAGTACCGAAGGAACTATTTGTATACCCTTGCACAGGGTATTATAGTTTTGTCGTGAAATGGGTATCGAATAGAAGAATACATCTTATATGAACAACTTTTTTGGTGATCAAGATATCTTGACCAATCTCAGCATTTTTTAGTTTTACTATGCGACCCATATATATGAAAATCCTAACAACATCGGATTAGTATATAAAATACTGCCAAAGGAACGATCGTTCGAAACTAAAGTTGTTGTAAAAAAAACTTTTTTGTTTTTCTCGATATCTTACCAAACTCGGCATTTATAGGTCAAACTATGCTACCTACATTTAAGCAAAATCTTATTAACATCGGACCACTATATCATATAGCTGCCATAGGAACGATCGGTCGAAAAGTAGGTTTTTGTATGAAAACATTTTTGGTTTATTAAGATATCTTGACCAAACTCGGCATTTATTTGTTTTACTATGCTCCCCGTATATATGCAAAATCCTAACAACATCGGACCACTATATCATATAGCTTCCATAGGAACTTAAGTTGTATGAACAAATTTTCGTTTTTCAACATATCTTAACCATAGTCGGCATAACCTATTTTCCCTGTGCTCCTTTGATACGGGCAAAGCACTATGAGCATTATGAAAAGGTTGGGTCTGCAAGGGTATTAAATCTTCGGCATGCCGTAGATAGCCCTTCTTTCTCGTTTTTTTCAATTTATTATTATTACTGCTAAAGCAAACGAGCGCGTAGATCGTGCAGCATTTGGTGATGGATGAAGAGGGTTCAGGATATCCCCTAGTCGGGAGTTCCCGACTTCTTGTTTTTTAATGAGCGCGTATTGCGGGCTGCATTTGGTGTTGGTGGAAAAATTGCAGTTTCCCAGTTTATTATGGCAATATAGAGCGTCTATCTTAGGCATATATAGAATTGCGAGAATGTAATGTTCATCACAATTGTTCCATACATATCTATATATAAAACTGTTTGTCCTGACTGACTGAATGACTGACTGACAGACTGATTGGTCATCAACGCACAGCCCAAACCGTAAGAGCTAGGAAGCTGAAATTTGTACTGTAGTTACCATATGTGATGAATGTGCACGTTAAAACAGGGTTTCGGGAAATTCCACCCGCATGTGTGGAAAAATGTGAAAGTTTTTTTGCTTACCATCTGATCGGCTTCAAACAAATTTTCAAGGGTCTTTGTCAAAATTCATTATTTTACACTTTTTGGTCAAAGATTTGGTGGGTGACGTTTCGCCCTCAAATTCATTTCCAAGGATCTATACGAAGAATCATTTGAGACGTGTTCCACACTTTTCACAGAATCCAAGTTTCCTCGATAGAAATGCGATTCAAAGCTTTCTTGGGCGAGGTTTTAAGTTTTGTCCGATTTGCTTCAAACTTATTTTCAAGACTCGACATAAGAACTTTATGATTACGTGTTTCAGCGGTTTGGGAAGTTCCACCCGCAGTGGTTAACTAGCGAAAAGCGGATGTATGAAAATTTTGTTTACCATCTAATCGGCCTCAAAATCATTTTTAAAGATTTTTGTGAGAGTTAATTTGGCACGTTCTTGGTTGCCAATACGGGTCAAAGGCCGAACAAACGAATTCTTCAGCTTCAAAATTCTCACCGCAAAACTAGCATGTGCGGAAAACGTTTATTCCCAAACTCGGTTCTTTATTCGATGCACTTAAAACATATTTTTAAATAGAAGTGGAGATCAAGATGGGTTAATTTCAATTTTCCATTGGCGTGTACTCATTGGAAAGGTAATAGCTAAAAATTTTTAGCACAAAACGTTCCACGGTCAAGGCCGGGCAATACCAGCTAGTTATACTCTGAACCCATTGAAAATGGGTGAAAAGGGTAAAATGTATTTGTGCAAATGTATGTAACAGGCAGAAGGATGCTTCACCGACCCCTAAAAGTATATATATTCTTGATCCGACTGTCTGTCCGTATGTATGAACGCAAGGATCTCATTATCTATAAGAGCTAGAGACTTGAAATTCAAGCTGTAGGTCCTCCTAGTGCTTTCGCATATCGAGTTTCTTTCCGATTTTCGATTACTTACTCCGTTTCCAAGCATTCGATAAGAGTCGATATCGAAATCCTGTTTTTCAACAAACCAATTTATGCTGCCCACCAATATAAGTCACAATTTAAATGCAATTGACTTTTTAAGAACACACAAATATTCTATAGCACAAAAAGATGTAATGTAGAAATTTTCATCAAGATCGGTTATGAAACACAGAAATTATTAATAAAAACGGGTTTTGATTTTCCTCGTATCAGCGGCAGCAAGCGCAAACTCCAAGAATTTCTGTATGCATGTTCACACACATTCATGCGCGTCTGCTTTGAATTCTATTAACAGCAGTGCAGTTGCGATTGTATTGTTTTCTGTGCTGCTATTTTAATTCGTTTTTTTCTCATTAAGACTCAGTTATTGGTGTAGCTGGTGAGTAGAGGCGGCGGTAAGTATTGAAGTCTGTTTTGAGTTCGAACCCTACCGAGGAAACAATTTTTTTTTTTTTTTGGCTGGTGTGGGTGTTGAGTAGAGTCGGCAGCATGTAATGCTGTCAGTTACACGTTCGAACCCTGCCAAGGGAACTTTTAATTTATCTTTATTACTACTAAAGCAAACGAGCGCGTAGCGCGAGCTGCATTTGGAGGGTTCAGGGTATCCCCTAGTCGGGAGCTCCCGACTAGAACCTCTGACTTTTCTTGGTGAGGTTAAGGATTGGCCGAACTCTTCATCTCGTACTGGGATATCCGGAGAACTTAAGAACTTAAGAAATTAAGTGGCTAAGCGGCGCATGTCGTTTCCAGTAAATTCCTCTCAAAGCTAGACAGAACACCTTGACACCCTCGCTGTCGTCTTCTACTGAGCAGACCTAACGGACGCCTTTTCCAGCCATGCATCATCATACGATCCAGCACCAAAGCTCGCTCACGACATTATCAGACAACGCGAATTTTGGTCGCCGCGCTCTTAGCGAAAGCTTTCGGTAAAGCTTTGAATAAAGCTTGACTTACTCTATTTAACTTGACAAAGTGCTCATCGCTAGAGAGCATAATTGCAAAAGTGATACGCATTCAGCCTAATCTGAACTACTGAACTCCTCTCTGCAATATAAGAGAGCTTCCAGTTTTAGCACCATATGTTCAAAAGTAACTTTGTGTTCTATTTTTGTTCAGTACCTAAAAACTGTCCACTACAGAGGGTTCAGGGTATCCCCTAGTCGGGAGCTCCCGACTAGAACCTCTTTCTTGATATATATGTTTAATTATTTGTCTTCTGTTTACTCTATAATACCCGCAGAATGGTGCTGATGACGTTAAGAGGCATCGGTGGTTCAAGAACTTAAATTGGAATGACGTCTATAACAAGAAGCTTAAGGTAAGTGGTACAAACCACACAGACATATTTTGATTTAAAGGAGTCGCCTAAAATGTAATGGATATACACGATGAAATAGGTCAGTCTATTCATGATTATTGGAGATAAAGATTAGTATGAAAAGAACTTACCAAACACAGAACAAGTCATGTTTTTGACAACTGATTACATTCCGAAAATGTAACTTTAGATTTTTTTTTAAAGTAAGAGTACACTAGAGTGGAGTACCCGACTGGTAGACACCTTAAACCCAACGTCGAGCGTCAGGTAAAAAATTTAAAGTTCCTTATATGTATACATAAACACAAAAAACACACATACATACATATCGAAAGTTTTTCTACTTTGCCCAAAATGAAAAGATTAGGACTGTTAAAAGGAAATTCCTTGTACGTATCGTAATAATGGGCTAATCCTACTTGTTTGTAAACGAACCGATTATACATCTTTGTGTCCCCAATCTAGTAATGATCATGTGATTAAAATAATAAAGAAATCTTGCATAAATCAAGTTAAGCTTATACAGTTCCGGATACAGATTAAAACTGAACACTTTTTTACTGTGTATTTAATCATTAACCGTTTTGTGTGTTTATTGCAGCCACCAATTTTACCTGATGTTCATCATGATGGTGATACAACAAATTTTGATGATTATCCCGAAACGGATTGGAAACCCACCACTGCATTAGACCAGAATGATTTGCAGTTATTTAATGATTTCTAAACGAAACAAAAGTATAACAATAGATACAAACGTTAATTTATTTAATATGTGTAAAACTATGATGTGGCAAAATATTAATTAATTAATAATTAAACAAATAAGTGTTGAACAAGTATAAAATTCATAGCAAAATCGTTCAAAATAGTGTAGTGGCTTTGAGGGGGTACCTCTCTCCCTATAATTTATATATATTATTAGCGGGTATAACTCGGCCTTGCCCGTGGCACGTATAAAATAAATGTTCTCAAAAGGCTTTGAAAATGATTTTAAAACTGATCGGACGGTAAACAAACAATTTTTATACAAACGTTTTTCGCCAATTCACCACTGTTGTGGGTGGAATTTGCCAAAGCGCTGAAACACACATTCATTATATTCTTATGTTGAGCTTTGAAAATAAGTTTGAAGCAAATCAGACAAAACTTAAAACTTCACCAAAAAATCTTTAAAAAGCACTTTCCACCGAAGAAGTCTGGATTTTGGGGAAAGTGGGAAACACGTCTCAAATGATTTTTCTTATAGATCTTTGGAAATGAATTTGAGGGCGAAACGTCATCCACCATTTTTTCCAAGGACGGATGGATTTTCTAAAAAGTGCGAAAAACCCCTCAAAAGAATTTGAACAAAGATCTTTGAAAATAAGTTTGAGGCCGATAGATCCAGTCATTTATATCTTTTCGTCGTGCATTTTCGATAAGAGCACTCTTACTTGATAGGTATTAAGCAAAAATGGAAAATAAAAGAATACTAATTCGAAAAACAAGTGTACTTGAAAATATACCTTAAAATTCAAAGTAATTTTTAAGATCATAATCATAATTCATTCATTTAATGAAGGGAAAGAAACGCTGTTCGTTTTTAAATGGGTAAAGAGTTTTGTGCAAATGTATGTAACAGACAAAAAGAAGCATTTCCGAATACAATATATATTATTGATCACCATTAATGGCTGCGTCGATCAAGCAAAGTTCTGTCCGTCCGTATTCAGGATCGCTTCGATCTTAGAACTTATAAGAGCTAGAGTACTAGTACCCGCGCAATACGTGTTCCAATAATCGATCATAATTTTTGAGTAAATCTCTTAGGTTATAAGGGCTAAAGTTATCAAATTTGACTTAGATTCTCGAATTTCAGCTTTTTTTATACCCTGAACCCATTGAAAATGGGTAGTAAGGGTATAATGTATTCATTCAAATGTATGTAACAGGCAGAAGGAAGCATCTCCGACCCTATAAAGTATATTTATTCTTGATCAGCATCAATATCCGACTCGATCTAGCCATTTCCGTCTGTCTGTCCGTATGTATGAACGAAAGGATCTCAGAACCTATAAGAGCTAGAAACTTGAAATTTTAGCTATAGATCATCCTAGTGCCCGCGCAAATCCGATATTCGATAACTTGCCCCGTTTCCAAGTAATCGATAAAAATCGATATCGAAATTCTGTTTTGTGAGCAATTTTTGTAAATAATAAGAGCTAGAGTCACCAAACGTGATATGTTGCTTCTGGAATAATATATATGTATCAATTATCTTTCATTTTATAGCTGTCCCCTGCTCCCCGCTACTACCTCATAACTATAAATCAAGTAAAATCACCAATTTATGCTGCCCACAAATATAAGCCACAATTGCAATTGACTTTTTGATAGTACACGAATATTCTATAGTACAATAAGGTGTACTGTAGAAAGTATCATCAAGATCGGTTAAGAAATACAGAAATGTAAATGTATCAGCGGCAACAAGCGCAAATTCCAATAATTTCTGTATACATGTACACACACACATTCACGCGCCTCTTCTTTGAATTCTATCAACATGCATGTTGATGCTGCAGCATTGGAATTGCGATTGTATTGTATTGTTTTCTGTGCTGCTATTTTAATTCGTTTTTTTCTCATCAAAACTTAATTATTGGTGTGGATGTTGAGTTCGAACCATGACAAGGGAACTTTTTTTTATACCCTGAAGCCATTAAAAATGGCTTTTTGTGTTTGGCAAGATCAACTTCGACTATTAACACTGACCACTTTATGGGGTTTAAGGTAGTTCTTTCTATTACAAACCGTTGCTCAAAAAACATACAATTTTGAAACATTTAAAATGGACTTAGCCACTTGGCATATTTCGTGAGCTATTCTTATTTTCACACAAATTATTGTCCTATTTTATTTTCTTTACCTGTGATGATGCTGGTGCATGCATTTTTGGTAAATACTTTATGAGGTTGGATATGCCGCCTTTCGCCTGTCATACGTATTTAATGCCATTAAAATGCAACATATGTTCACAACTGCCACAAATCTCTCCAGAAGATAGCCAAGCTGTTTGCAGTGAACCTCATATAAGTCCTAGACCACAGGGACATCGATGGCAACTGCCGAGCAGACGAGCTGTCATGGTTAGGATCTACCAATTTCCCTTTCTGCGGAGAGCACCCATAAATGAATACCCTATTGCAAGCTCCACAGAGCTATGTCGGCTGCCGGCATACCTTTAGAATTCTGGCCGCCTATACAACTTTTTCAGAAGTTTCCGCGATAAGAAAGAGGAAAAAACACTTATGCTCTGCGCCTGTTCAGCTTCAAGTAAAGCTAGATTCCGTTTCCTTATCACATTTTTAGTGTGAAGTTTAAGTAAGTGTTTAATATGCTGTTCTTTTTTTTCTAGCTATTATATATTCTGATATATAATTGATAATTGAAAAGATTGACGACCCATGTTAAATCGACTTGACTATTAATGCTGATCCTTCTGTCTGCACAAAATCATTCAACCCTTTTTACCCAAATTCTCTAATCGATCGTGAGCTTGTGTTGTACGAGATAAATTGTAATATTGCTATCAATTGAATATGCAAGCTAAGTAGAATGCGCATGTGTGCAATCCCATGAAGCTGAAATCCCCAAATGCATTACGTGAAATGTTTATAATTTTATTTTTAAATTGCAATTACAATTTTTGTTAGCTTCATATTTACTTTTTGTATATTTATTTATGCTAGAATTTATAATTTTATTATATTTATTTTTCACATTTCTTTTGCAAACAATATAAATATTTGTTTTAACCTAAAAATTGTTCTTAGATGATTGTTGTGTTTAGGAGTTATTTGTGTCCTATTAAATACTTTGGACACATCATCGCCATCTTAAAGTAAAATTTGAATACATTTTCAACCTATACATGTGTCAGATCTTTAATGTAAAACAAATGAACTAATGCATTACATTTAATTCAGTGGTCATTATAACATATAAAGCAATTAAACTAAAATGTAACAAATGAACATTAAAAAGCTCCTAAGAACGCAGTAAGATACAAGCGACTGCGCGATACTCTGTTCCCGTGCAATAAAAGTCGAAAAGAGTCTGTTTTCATTAGGATCAAAGGATGTCATTAGTAATCTGCCGGATATTATGAATGCATATCTAAAATTGTTGTAGGTACAGATTCTTGCGGCTTGCACGCCTCATATTCCAAAAATCAACATATTTTTTTATTTTTTTGTGAACAGAGTATTAAAGCATTGTCAATTTATGTTGTTTTAAATATATAGTGTGCTATGTTAATATTCGCATTGTAAGAAGGAATTACCTTGAATGTTGTTTTAAAAGTAAGCCCAAAATTCGCTTGCATGCGTGTGGGTAAGAAATGAGTTATGTAGGCTTGTGACTTATAATGTTTCGAAAATAATTTGTTTTGGTATTTATCGTTATATTATAATTCTAAATTTTCAATCCAAACAATAAAGCAATTGAAATTAAAACATATCTGGTAAGCTATAAAGTCATCGGCACATCGAACCTTTGAATTAATAAGAGTTTGAACAAAAATATTATTTCGTTTAGGCTTCATAAGGTTAAGTTAGGCGTGGCAATATTTATCATTAAGAATAAGATTGCAATTCTAATTATAAAGCATTAACATTATTGACTGTGATCAGTGTTTAGAATGCATACATTTTATTAGTTGGTAAATTATTTTATCGATCTATAGATACGTACATGTCAAAAATAGATTATCTTGCGTGTTTATGTATATGTGTACGTGTTTTTGTATATGTGTAGCATAAGAACATATTTATCTATGTACTCGTATGTATGTACACAAACCCATTAGGTATGTATCTGTGCATGACAGAAACTCGAGCATACTGGTATGAGAAAGAAATGCATAATCATATTACATATAATTGGAGATTAGATTATGTACAGATATATATATAAATATATAATTAATATGATTTACACACCCTTGCAAACATTTAAATTTAGACACGCTTTATTATGATACTCATATATCGTGTTCAGAGAATTTGTAAGGAATTAAGGGAGACATCTTTGGCCCGATAAAGTATAATCCTTACAATTGTTCGAGACAGCATCCGAGTGTTATTGTAATTTGTACTGCCGTTTGTTCTTGTGATGCATCTTGGTCTAAGGCCGTGAATGCAAACAGTACACAAAACGGAGGTGGTCACTATTTTTTATTGCTTCACTATGCCAAATACAGCATTTCAATCAGCTGATTCAAGCCTTCCACATACGTTCGCCAAAATTCTGTTCTTTTTTGAAGTTCCTTCATGTGTCTGTAAAATTAATTCGTATATGAATGTACACAAGTATATTTGGCGTTTTTATATTGGACCATTCTTGTGCTTGAACGAGACTAATCAATAATTAAGTGAAATATAAATTTACAACGATGCGACCGAGATAATGTGTAACCTGTCAAGAGTTGCGTTTTATAACTCTTAATTTCGGTTATCGACATTTAAAACTTGTCAAATTTAATTGAAATTTGACTTGTAGAACTATAAGTAGACTATTTTCTCTCCACAATCGTGCAAAATATTGTGCGACTTCAGGCTCCGAATAGACTGAATAGTTAAGAATCTACTTGTAAATATGGCTAGATACTGTTACACCGTCAGGAAATGTGGCACGTATGCAAACAGGTGTTGCAAAAAAGGTGTATATGATTTGCATCGTGTAAAGAGCGCTTGAAAAATATATAAAATAGTTTTGGTTTAATTCGGTGAGTTTAATCTTAAATGTAAGTCGTATTGAATGAGTATGAATAATAACAATATATATACGCTAAGTAATTTCGAT